CACAACGCTAAACAACGAGATTGTGACTCCACACAGTTGCGCTGCTAGAGGCTGTTTGCGAAATAATTCTGGATAGAGTTTGTACTAGTAAAAAGCTCCATAGAGTGCTGCGTTCAGATGCATAGGGGGGCCGAAGTTCGCAATTTGGGGGGTGGCACGTTGTTAGATTAGAAGGGGGTATCCTAACGCTAAGCCAACTCTAGCGCGATTCGGACTTGAATAGTGCATCATATTGGGTAGGTAGGTCCAACACTTGGCCTCACATTGGTCAGGGTCGAAATAGTAGGGGCGCGCAGATTGTGGTTGGGGCGTATCATGTGAAGATGGAGGAGCTTGTGTGGAGTATTGAGAGGTTCCCCAATGCGGTGAATAGTATGGTTGAGTGGATGGCGGATGTGTGTAGTGTTGCGGCGAGGGCTGCCGAACGGAATATTGGTATGCTGGCTGATAGGTCGAGAACTGAGGTGCCATGAGCTGAGCTGCTGCATAATGTTGAGGGCTATGGTTGCTCGATGAGTACCGTGAAACCTGGGGTCTATGCCAGTAGTCGGGCACCGTTAGGTGAAGAGGAGTATGTGTCTGGAGCTGACCTTGTGTATCGATTGATAGAGTTACAGCTCCGACGATATGATGTTGCACATGGCTTGGTTGGATGTGGTGCAGGTTTCCTGCTACAAGGGGCATGTCTCTGCTCTCCTCATCTTCGAGGCTGACCTTCCAACCGTTCAGAAGCTCGGGTCTTGGCTGAATGTCGGCGAGCTTTGAGTCTTCGAATGGTCGCTTCAGTTTTCCGCTCACAACGTCTTCGAGACTGTAATAAGAGATAACATGGTGATGAGTGCCCTGGTACTTGACTGAGATGGTCTTCTTCATCAAACCACCCTCTTTGAACTCGTAGCTATCGATGAGGGAGCCGCAGAAACGTCGCTGTTGATCCGGCGTCAAGCTTTGGGCGAAGTTTGTGTACAACTTGTTCATGAAGCCGACATTGCCTGATAGCGAAGTGTCAAACGAGGGATTCTCACACTCGTCCTCGGAGTTTTCTAGCACTTCGCCAGTCTTGGACCTAACGGGGCCATTTTCCTCCTTCCGCTTCCTCTTGGTTCCGCACGATGGGTTCGGGGCCGACATCTTCTCCTC